AAACTGGGGGCTCCCAGCCCAGGATCCCCGTTTGCCACCTAGAGGTGCTGGGCGGCTGGGTCTTCCAGACCTCGGGTCCTGGGCACCCCTGGACACCCTCCGGACCGCTGCGAGAGGCTGGGCGACCTGGCCCAGTGTCTGGGGGCGGGGGCGGAAGGGGTGGTCTGAGAAACTCAGGGCTTCGATTCCAGGTTCCTTGGCACTTAGGAGGCCTGGGGCGCTGCTAGGGGGCGGGGGTGTGGAGTCCCAGGGAGGAGAAGTGGCCGTGGGTCAGATGTCCTGGGGATCAACAAGCCGGACCCTGGGGAAAAGGACTCAGAACCGAGCGGAGCTGGCAGGTCCGCACCCTGCGCTGGGCAGGTGGTCATCTGGATGAAGGGGACACCTGAGGGGCCAGGTCACTGCTGGGAGGGAAGGTTGGAAGGGGCGAGGGCCTTCCAGTATAAACACAACCAGGGCTCGAATGCCCAGGGGTCCTGAGGCATCTCAGGGGACCCAAAGGCCTGAGTCCCATTTCCGGAGGAGGCGGGGTGCTTGGTTCAAACTTTCATAACATCCGACAGGCCTGGGTCCCCTCTGGGGACACCCTCAGCCCTTGTTTTCTGGGACTGGGAAACTCGGCATCTCCTGAGGAGAGGGGACTCATCCTCATTGTCACAGGACAGGGAATGCCTGGGTCCTTTGGGGAGAGGTGGGGGCACCCCTACTTTTATGGGGTCAGGACGCCTGGGTCCTTTTCTGGGGGATCCTCAGTTCCTGTTTTCAAGCGCCACGATGCCTGAATCCTGTTTCGGGGTGGAGGGGTCAACCAGCTCCTGTGTTCACGGGGTCAGGATGCCCAGGTCTCCTGGGAAGGGAACGCTGGGTCCCTGCTCTCCCAACTCTCAGCGTACCTCCCCGGCGGGAGGGACGGGATGCGCAGCCCATTTCCAACCCATCCCAAGTGCCCATCCTCGTCCGAGGGTGCTGGGCGGGGAGGAGGCGCGGGGGGGCGGGGGACGGTGGCCAGTCCAGGCCTCACCCCAGCCCACCGCAAGCTTGCAGGCCGTGCGCCCCGCAGCTCCCCGGGGCCCGGCTCCCCGCCCCCCGCGCCGAGGGCTCCCCTAGATCTGGGCGCGCGGGCGGGCGGGCGCCGTAGCGACCAATGAGCGCGCTCGCCGTCTCTGGGAGCCGGGCCGGCTCTGCCCGCCTGGCATTGGGCACGCGGTGGGCAGCGGCGGGCGGGGCCTGGGGGGTCCTCGCGCCTGGTTGGGCCAGGCTTGTTGCTGGGTAACGGGGCGGCGAGTTTCCCCTGGCAACGGCGGCGGGTACCGCTCACTGGCTGGCCGGGAAGGAGGGGGGGCGCGGGCGCAGGCAGGCCCCGCAGACCCCAGCAACAGCGCGCGGCCCCCGCCCCGCCGGGGAGCGGTAACCTTCACACGCGCCGGCCTCTCGGACCCTGCGGACGCCGGCGCCCCCGCCCAGCCCCCACCGGCTTCGGTCCAGCCTCCGGGCTTGGGAGGCCGGCTACGCAGAGGGGACCCAGGAGGCCCCCTCTCCACCGCTGAAGGCCGGTACTCAGGCCCTGCAGTGAAAAGTTAAGTCCTTCCCCAACTCGCTCTTGCCGTGCGGAGAAATCTACTTCCCCAGAATGGCGCACAAGAGATTGGGGAAGGGTGCGGGTCTGCCGTAAGACCGGCTGGGACACTCATTTCTTCAACCGGCACTTGGCATGGAGGCTGCTCCCGCTGGAAACTGCTCTAATTGTCTAACAAATACACACTCACTTAATCGTCACATTTAATTTTGGGTCCTTTGGTGATCCCCCTCTGTGTACAGGTGAGGAAGATGAGGAAATGGGGCACAGAGAGGGGAAGCTGCTTGATTAAGGCCATCGTCCGAACCCAGGTAGCCTGGCTGCAGAGTCTGGCCGCTTTATCGCTGCACTGTGCCGGAGGTCCCTTTCAGAGGCGTTCATATGCAAAATGAGAAACCAGTGGCTGGCCCTAGGGCCGCTGGTCTGAAAGCCCTGTCCCTACCTAGGGGTCCTAACTTCAAGTTCTTGTTTGGATTCTGAGAGAGTCGGTGGACCCCCCACACTGGTAGTAGTAACGCTGGATACCAGGTATTAAGCACCCACCAGGCCTTAGCGCTTTACTTTTATCCACCTTCTCACTCTGCAAAATCCTATGAGATGGAGCCTTTCATTGTCCCAGCTCACAGATGGGGAAGTTGAGGCACAAAGACACAACCGCTAACCCAAGGTCACAGCACCAGTAGGTGGCAGAGCCGGAAGTTCTAACGCAGGCCATCTAGACCCAGAACCTTGTTTGGTGAGCTCAGCCTGCAGGGTTTTTTTGGGGGATGGGCCAGAGCTGGGGGTCTGGCCCTGGGAGGTTAGGGTGTCTAATCTGGAGCAGGATCTGGACTAAAGAGTGGAAATCATCTTCACTGGTGACACTACTTAGGGCCTGGTGACTCTTGGTCCTCTCCCACCCTCTCCCACTCCTACCCACCAAGCTGGGTCCCTCCAGTCCTTCACTCATTTTCTTCTCAGAAAATCATCCCGGCGCATCTGGCCTCCTGGTGTTTAGTCCTAGATGGGCAGCTTGAGGGCCCTGAGCCATGTGTGAGGCACACAGGCTGGACGGTGAGCTAACCCAGGGCTGGGGCCTGCCTCTCTCGTAACTTCATCACTGCCGGTCACAGAGCAAACACTGGCCATAACCAGTGACCCGAGTGATAAGTGCATTTATTAGGCGCCTGCTACATGTCAGCCACTCAATGACTTCCATGCACGATCCCATTTAATGAATGTCTGCAGTGACATTTCTCAAACGCCTTTACACTCGACCTTTAAAGTCAAAGATACACTTTCTGTGGGACCCGGTGTGTACTTACCACACATCAGCCACGTTTTCACAAAACGGCATTTTCCTTTGGCTTCTTGATTTTGAACGCGATATTCTATTTTGCATTGTTTTAAAAGTCTGGTCAAGCCCTGGCTGGTGTGGCTCAGCGGATTGAGCACGGGCCTGCAAACCAAAGGGTCGCTGGTTAGATTCCCAGTTGGGGCACATGCCTGGGTTGCGGGCCAGGTCCCCATTAGGGGGCGCATGACAGGCAACCACACATTGATGTTTCTCTCCCTCTCGTTCTATCTCCCTTCCCATCTCTCTAAAAATAAATAAATAAAATCTTAAAAGAAAAAAAAAAAAGTCTGGTCAAGAGCCACTGGACTTGCATGTGGAAGGAGCTTCCTATAAAGGAGCACAGGGAAGGATTTGGGTGACAGAAAGGCTCTGAATCTTGATTGAGGTGTGCGTCTGTCACACTCCACCAACTAGACCCTGAGAAAGAGTGAATTTTATTGTGCGTAAATATATCTCCATCAACCTGAATAAGAACAATAAGAACCACAAAAGTGATTTTGCAATCCATGGTTTGCTCACGGCTCACCGTTTGAAAACATTGGAAGGAAAGAGGGAGGGAGGTTAAATCAGTCCCCCCCCATACTGAAAGCAGGGAGATTTTTAAAGATGATTTTATTTATTTATAGAGAGAGGGGAAGGGAAGGAGAAAGAGAGGGAGAGAAACATCAGTGTTTGGTTGCCTCTCCTGTGCCCCCTACTGGAGACCTGGCCTGCAACCTGGGTTTGTGCCCTGAGTGGGAATTGAGCCGACCACCCTTTGGTTTACAGGCCCGCACCCAGTCCACTGAGCCACACCACGCAGGGCTGAAGGTAGGGAGATTTCAGGTGTGGTGTCCACTTCCCGCGTCTCTTGGGAACTCACAGGATCTGGCCCTGGAAGAAGCCCCCGTCTGAGCGCCGGACCAGCCCACCGCTGCTCGGGACTGGCATCCCTCCTCGGCCAGCTCCGTGCTGGGCACTCAAAGGCAACTCACCCTGTGGTGACGAGGTTTGGGTGGGGGTGTGACACGGAGGGAAGAAAAAGTGCAGGGGAGACAGAGCCTCAGAGTCCCAGGGGAAGAGAGGCCAGGGGCCAGCCAGCCGGAGCTGGGGCGGGAGCGACAATGGGAAGCTGAGAAGGGAAAGGGAACTGAAACCCACCAGAAGGTGGGGTGAGAGGCAGTGCAGGGGCTGCTGCCCGGGCATGTCCGTGCCAGGTGCCTGGGGTTCTTTCTGGCCCGGGGGCCACCGCCAGATTTGTGGCGAGTGCGGCCAGGTGTGTCTGTTAGCGAGCCTGTGCGCAGGAGCCTGCCACAGGGATGAGTTGGTGACTGTCTGTTGGGGGCCAGTTTCTTCTAGGTCTGCCTTGATCTTTGTCTCTGAGGGTCAACTTCTGACAGTTGCACTGCGTCAGCTGTGAGCTGGGGTGGCTGTTGGTTTGTAATCTCTATGGGACTGTCATCTAAATCAAACTGAACCTCCAGGTATCCGTGACAGGTGTGTGTGTGTGTGTGTGCGTGCACCTGCGCGCTCATTGGAATGTCCCGACTGCGAGCCCGGTCGGTGTGGGTGTCTGTGCACCTGTGTGTGTCGCTCTACCGGGTCAGTCTCCCTGTCCCGGCGCCTGTGTCAGAGTCGGTCTCTGCATTGGTGTCTAGGTGTGTGTGTGTGTGTGCGCGTGTGCCCCAGGTCGGGCTGTGTTTTTGTGGCCCCCACCCCCGGCCGAGGTGTGCATCTGGGAAACTGTGGCCGTGTGTCTGAGTCCGCTCGTCTCCGTCGCCCTGTCGGCACGTGACTCCGTGTACCCTGGAGCGCGGCTGCGGGGGTGTGTGTGTCTGTCTGTGAGTCCCAGTCAGTGTGTCAGTGTGTCAGTGTGTGTCCGGCTGTCCCGCGTCGCCCTGGGCCAGGCCCCGCCCCGGCCCCGCTGCAGGGAAACCCCCGGTGCAGAGGTAGGGGGCGCGGCGCGCGCCAGCAAGTCCCGACTTGTCCAGCGCGGGCGGGCGGGGCCGTGGCGTCACGCGGGGGCGGGGCGTGAGACCCGCCGGGCGGGGGCGGGGCGGGACGGGGCGGGGCCGCCGCCGAGCTGGCCCAGGATCCGCCGGGCTGCCTGAGACGCGGCGCGAGCCACATGCGAGCGGGCGCCTGGCGGCCGCAGCAACCGAATCGGCAGCGGCGGCCACGACGCGGACGCGCTTGCGGCCCGAGCAGCAGCAGCAGCCACAGCGACAGCAGCAGCTACTTCAGTTAGAGCAGCAGCAGCAGCAGTCGCCGCAGCGAGCGGCGCTCGGCGGGCGCGCCCTCCTGAAGGAAGCCGCCCGCCCCCGATCGCCGCCCCCTCTGGCGTGTTCATGCCCCCGGGGTGAGTGTGCGCACCCCGAGTCCCCGCTGGCCTGGATTGGCCAGGCCCGGTGGGCTCCCTGGAGGCGGTGGCGGGAATGCGCGCGGGGAGCACTGGGGGCGCACTGCATCCCCACCGCGTGCCCCCCTCTCTTCCCGCCCTCCGCCCTCACCAGGGACTCGGGGCCAGGCAGGGGTCGCTGCGCCGGGGGCACCAAGGGTCGAGGAGCGCAGGTGCCTCAGCGGTCTGGCGGGTTTGTTTACAAACAATGGGGTGCAGGCTCGGCAGCGCCCCCTGGTGGCCAGTGCGGCCCCGGGGAAGTGAGTCGACCCCGGCTGCCCCGGCCTCCGCAGTCCGGGAGGGGCGGGGCGGGGGTACTGCGCGGAGGGGCTGCCACACCCGGGGCGCGCGCCCGCTGGGGGCGGCGACAGGGGGCGGCTCGCGGGCCGCGGAGTCTGCGGCTCCTGCGGGCGGGGGCTGCGCCCCAGCAACAGCCGGTTATTGGCCCCGCGTTCGCCTGGCGGGCGGGGCGGGCGCACGTGGCGGCGGCGGGGTTGGGGGGGGGCCTGTGACAGCGCAGGGGGGCGTCTGGCCCCGCCGTGGGAGCGCGCGTGTGCGGGGTTGTGGATCTGCAGGTGTCTCGCCTGGGTGTGTGTGTGTGTGTGTCTCGCTCCGAGTTTGTGCTGGGGTGTGCAGGGAGTGGTGGTGTCCGTCCGGCCGGGGTGTGTGAGTGAGTCCCCGTGCACGTTTGTGCGGAGCGCTGCGCGGCTGCCCTGCCTGAGGGGTGGGGGCTGTTTCTGTGCGGTGTACCTGCGTGTGTGTTTTCTCTGCGAGAGTTGCCTGCGTGTGCTGTTTGGGTGTGTTTCCGTGGTGCTGTGTTGCTTGTGTGTGCTGGCCTGTGGTGGTTGTGTGTTTGTGTGTTGCTTGAGTGAGCCGTGTTTGTATGTGTATCCTGCCCGATGGGCTGTATTTTTGTGTGCTCGCGTGTCTTGCCTGTGTGGACTCTGTGACGGCGCGTATCTCCAGGGCATGTGTCTCTCAGCTCGGCGTTTAGGACGGTATGCCTGCTGCATGCCCACGTCTGTTTTCTGTCCAGGTGTCTGTGAGTTCTGCACGGTGTGTGTGTGTGTATGTGAGTGTGTGGTGGGGGGCTGTCTCCGTCTCTGTTTGGCCTGTGTGTCTGGCACTGGTGTCTGGGAATCGGAGACCGTGTCTCGGTGGGGTCTGTGCCGCACAGGCAGTGGGTGTTGCTGGCAGCCTCTTGCAGGGGGCTGTCTCCGCGTGTGTGTGTGTGTGTGTTGGGTCTGAGGGGCTTGTCTCCGTGATCGGCTGGCTCATGCGTGTCATGTGGGCTGCGTGTGTGCAGTGTTTATGTCAGTCACGTGAGACCAGTGTTTTCTGTGGGCGCGTTAGGTGTGCGTGCTGCCAGGGCTGCGCGGGGTTAGAGTTAGCGGGTGCGTGTGGCGCGTCCGGGGCTGACGGTGGGCTGTCGTGTTTTGAGGCTGGGGGAGGAGGAGGGTGGGCTGGCATCTGCTGTTCTGCTGTTGTGTCTGCGAGTCTCTGCCGGCGAGTGGGGTGCTGTGTGCGGGTCCGAGGACACGTGTCCTGGGGTCTGAGAGTTGGTGACAAGTGGGTGTGTTTCGGTGGTGTTGGTCTGTGTGTGTGTGTGTATGAGTTGGTGTGTGTGTGTTGGTCTGCCTGTGTTGATGTGTGTATGAGTGCTGAGGTGTGCATGCCTTATCTCTTGGGTGTGTGTGTGGGGAGGGGTAAGTGTGTTTGAGAAGTGTGTGTTCCTGTTGGTGCTGTGGGGGGGGGGCACGTCAAGAGTGGGTCAGCGAGCGAGATGCTGACACTCTGTGTATGTGTGTGACGTGTGTGGGGGGCCGAGGTGGCGGGGATGGGTTGTGCCGGGCAGTCCGCACTGATTGTGTAGCCCTCCTGATGGGCTGTGTGTGTGTGTGTGTTCACATTTTGGTCAGTGTTTCTGTGTGTGTCCTGGGGAGCGAGTCGTGGTGTCCGACACTGAGGCCATCTCAGTGTCTCTGTGCAAATGGGAGGTGAGGCGGGAGGTCACCCTGGCCAGTCCTGCCTGAGTCCTCACGTGTCCGCGTCGTGTGTCCTCCACACACACCCCTGGTTTTCTCCGTGTGGGTCCCGCCGCAGTCCCTGTGTGTTGGGGGGGCCGTCAGGGTGCCAGAGTGCCCTTGGAGTGTGCCCACCTCTGTGTCCCAGGAGCCACCCCACCAGCCTGTGTCCTATGTGAGCCCCTGTCAGTTTGGATGAGTCTGTGTTGTGTGGCTGTCACCCCCCTGTGTCTGGGTCCGGGGTGCGTCCTTGCACTTGCTGTGAGAGCTGTGTCCTGTGCCCCCTTGTCCCTCCCTGTGGGCCCATCACCCTGTGCTTGGGAGGCTGCCCCCGGCTGAGCCCAGGCTCAGCAGCCCCTGGGTGGTGTGTGTCTTCCGTGGCCATCACCTACATGGTCCTCTCCAACAGGGCCCAGGGTGTGCCACGGGCACTCTCCCTGCCCCCCCACGCGTGCTCAGCACAGTGTGCGGGATTGGAGGTGCCCTGGGGCCCTCTGCACTTGTTGGCTGACGGCACCTCTCTCCCCCTGTCCCGCAGGCCTCAGGGAGCGCCATGGCCCGAGCACGCCAGGAGGGCAGCTCCCCGGAGCCGGTAGAGGGCCTGGCCCGCGACGGCCCTCGCCCCTTCCCGCTCAGCCGCCTGGTGCCCTCGGCTGTGTCCTGCGGCCTCTGCGAGCCCGGCCTGCCCGCCGCCCCCGCCGCCCCGGCCCTGCTGCCCGCTGCCTACCTCTGCGCCCCCACCGCCCTGCCCGCTGTCACTGCCGCCCTGGGGGCCCCCCGCTGGCCTGGGGGTCCCCGCAGCCGCCCCCGAGGCCCGCGCCCCGACGGTGAGTGCCCGCCCCACACCGGGGATGATGGGAGCCGGGCGACAGACACTGAGGAACTGGCCAAGTGGGAGCGGGTGGGGGGAGGTGGCGAGCAGGCCGGGCCACAGGGAGGGTGTGGCCTGTGTGGTCTATGTGTTGCAAGAAGCAGGAAGACCGAGTAGGAGGCTGGGGGGTGGGGGCACGCCGAGTGGGAAGTCCCTCCTGGAATCTGACTGCAGTCCCCGAGTTGCAGCCGGTGGCCGGCCTTTCCCAGCCCCTCTCCCCTAGCCTGGGTCCCTTTAGTCCCCCTGAGGACTGTAGAGGGAGAGAGTGTGGGCAGAGAAGGAGGACGGTCACTTCAGGACTTTGGGGAGGTGTCGAGGGTGGCTTTTTGCCATTATCTGCGTCTTTTTGGCCGAGGCGAGGTCCGCCCTCTGCGCAGGTCCTGGAGGAGGACGGAGGGGGGAGGGGCCATTGTGTTGGGAAAGTGTGTGTGTGTGGGGGGGGTGAGCTTTGGGGAGGGAAGGGTTAAAGGTCCCTTGCCTGATGGGCCGTTAACCCTGTGGAGCCCGGTAGCCCCATCCCAGCCGGCACACTCGGTGGCAGGGGACTCACTGTCCGGGTTGCCCTCCAGCCCCACCCCGTCTCTGGAGCCCAGGGAGGCTCAGAGAGAGAAACTTCTCCGACTCAGTTCCCTGGAAGTGGGACAAGAGGGGACTCGATTTCAAGACCAGAGTCCCAAGTGTGGAAACTGAGGCCCGATTTGGGGCCTTAGGGATCCCTCAGGCCCGGACCTGGGGTGACAGGAGGGAGGAGGAGAGGCCAGAGGAGCTGAGAAGGGGGTGGGTGCTGGAAGGCATCCCCCGCATCCCAGCCCCCCAGGCCGGTGTTCGGAGGCAGCCAGCCTGGCCTTCTGGTCTCCAGGCCACATCCGGAGGTGTGGCTTCACTGTGGTTGGGCGCGAGAGGCCAGGAGACCTGAGGCTGGTGACTCTGGGTGTAGCCAGTGGCTGTATCCCTGTGTGACCTTGGGCCACTTCTTAGGGTGGCCCTCAATTTCTCCATCTGTTAAATGGAGCAGACAAAATTGGCCCCGTTCTGGAAGAGGTACTCAGGTTAGGTGAGAGGAAGGCCTTCTAGACTAACGTGGGCTAGACAGGCGACTTCCGAAAGGCCACCCCGAGACCTCTCACCGCTTCCTGGTGCCTGGGGAGTGGAAGCTGACAACTCAGGCTCTAAGAGGGGACCCTGGAATGGCTAGGAACAAGGCGGGAAGCAGAAGTGAAATCCGGCGCCCGGAAAAGGGAGAAGCGGGCACTGGCTAACTAGTCCCCCAGGAACACCTCGGGGCCTACAGGGATCATGGGTGCTGACCACACCCCTCGGCTTTTCCCAGGTCCTCAGCCCTCACTCTCGCCCGCGGAGCAGCACCTGGAATCGCCGGTGCCCAGCGCCCCGGGGGCCCTGGCGGGCGGCCCCACTCAAGCAGCCCCGGGAGTCCGTGGGGAGGAGGAGCAGTGGGCCCGAGAGATCGGGGCCCAGCTGCGGCGAATGGCGGACGACCTCGACGCTCTGTATGAGCGGCGGGTGAGTGCTGGGGGAGGGGTAGACGGCAGGTGGGACTTCCCGCCGGGGAGGGGGCTGCGGGCGGCCCCGCCAGATGTGCCGCAGCTGCTGCCCTGCGCGGCGGGGTCGCGCCGGGGACAGGCCAGTGGGAGGGGCGGCGTGGCCGCGGAGCCGCCGAAGGCCCCCGCGCGGCGGCTGGCACGGCCCGGCCCGGGGGTGCCCGGAGCGCCGCGGCGCACCCGAGCCCGCGGCCGCGGGGACTGAGGGCGGCGCTCCGCGGAGCGGCTCATATATCCCGGGCTATTTATAGCCGGTGAGTCAGCAGCGGCGGCGCGGCCGCGCCCGCCCCTCCCACCCGCCCGCGCAGCAGGCGGCGCGCCACGCAGCTCTCCGAGCGGGGCGGGGGCGGGGCTCCGGGCGCGAGGGCCCGCCCCCAAGCCCGCCGCTCCTCCTCGGAGCGAAACAAAATATCTGAAGCCTGCAGCAGGGAATGGAGAATAACAAACACCAGGGCGCCCACCCGGCTCTCTGGAACCTGAACCTGACACTCGCACTGCCTGCTTATTGAAAGCAAAACAAAAACCGGATGTTGTGAAGCCCCTTGTCGCCCCTCTGTGACCCCATCCCTTTCCCCCTTCCCAAGAAAACCTCTCAGGCTGGCCTGTCCCATTCCTCTGCAGGTGTGAGTCTTTTACTCCGTATTTACCAGGCCACGAACAATGCTAAGGACTGTAGGGCGTTTTGTGGCGTAATCTTTAAGACAGAGAGAGTGTTTCCCTGCAAACTTTTTCTCCTCTCCGTTTTTGCTGGAGGTTCCTCCACGTGGGCAGAGTCGGTTCACCCACTTTCACTGCTCCTTAGCTTTCTGTCGGATCCACCTATAGCATCCACGTTCGTTCTCTCATGGTTGGATTTTCAGGATGTAAAAACAAACGTTTTACATTTTATTCATTGGCTTTTTTGGTTTTTTGGCTCTCCCAAGTTAGGCACCTTTCCAGGAGCACCCCTGTGTCTCCATAGATTCCCCGGCTGGTCTGCCCACCCTTATGGAATGTTTGCTTCCTTGCTCACCAAGGTGGCTGTGCCGTGTGGCACTCAGAAGCCATGTAAGGGTGGCAGGCTTTTACACTTATGCCAATCTGCCCTGGCTGGTGTAGCTCAGTGGACTGAGCATGGGCTGTGAACCAAAGGGTGGTGGTTCGATTCCCAGTCAGGGCACGTGCCTGGGTTGCGGGCCAGGTCCCCAGTGGGGGTCATGCGAGAGGCAACCACACACTGATGTTTCTCTCTCTTTCTTTCTCCCTTCCTTCTCCTTGCTCTAAAAATTTAAAAAGAAAAGAAATAGACTTACGCCAATCTGATGTGCCCCTTTGCTACCTCCTGGCTGTGGGAGTTGGAGTTGGTGGTGAGTGAGGAGGAGGCAGGGTCAGGCATCTCACCCACCCACCCTTTGGATGCTTTACCTGACCTTGATCCCAACTCTGAGGTGGGCTTCTCCTTCCCAGTACGGGAGAGTGCTGTCACTAACTTTTTATTTATATATATATATATATATCTATTTATTTTTAGAGAGGGGGGAAGGGAAGGAGAAAGAGAGGGAGAGAAACATCAATGTGTGGTTGCCTCTCACGCGCCCCCTACTGGGGACTTGGCCTGGAACCCAGGCATGTGCCCTGACTGGGAATCGACCCGTGATCCTTTGCTTCACGGGCCCGTGCTCAATCCACTGAGCTACACCGGCCAGGGCACTAACTTTTTATTTTTATTGATGGGAGTCTTTTTGTGTCTAGCTTCCTTCTTGCTCACCGTCCTAACAGTCCGGGGCTGAGAGGGTCCCCGAGGCCACTGCATGTCTTCATCCCACCCCTCAGCCCCTCCAAAGAGGTCAGGGGTCAGCTTTGCCTCGACATACTTCTGCGCAGCCTCAGCACAGGGGATCTGTTCCCAGTTCTCCTCCTTCCACAGATTGTTCTAGAATCGCTGAGACTGCGGGCAGATTGTTCTAGAATCGCTGAGACTGCGAGCTCCCTGCCCCCTTCCCTCCATCCCACCCCCAGCCTTTTAGGGGGGCAGGGCAGTGTGGGCTGTGATCCGGCCCCGCCCCTTCCCCCTGGAGTGACTTCCGTTGGGTGACTTTGTCATCTGCAAATCGATGACACGCACTTCTGTCCTCCCTGAAGGTGACGACACTGGCCCACTTGGGCAGAGGAACTGGGGTGTGAGCCCAACTAATAATAAGAGCACCAACGTCAGTGGGCGGGCCGGCTGTGGGTGTAGCTCGCCCTCAGGACCCCGCCTCCTTGCTCCTCGATGCCCTGGGACCCGACCACGCTTGTGCCCCTGTCACGAGCCCACTCTCTGACTTCCTCTTCTCTCTCTTTCCGCAGAGACAAGAGGAGCAGCAGCGACACCGCCCCTCACCCTGGAGGGTCCTGTACAATCTCATCATGGGACTGCTGCCCTTACCCCGGGGCCGCGGGGCCCCCGAGATGGAGCCCAACTAGGTGCCTGCACCCGCCTGGCGGGCGTCGGGGACTTGGGGGGCAGGACCCTCCCGCCTCCTGACGCCCTGGCCAGCGCAGGGGTCGTTGTCTGCACCATGTAGCATATACTGGACTACCAGCCCTGCCTGTCCCAGGGGCGGGCCAGGGCAAGCCCCTCCAGACCCAGCCCCGGCCTTGCTTGGGGTGCACTGAGGGAGATGCGGACTCCTGGGCCCCTGGCCGCGAAGCCGGGGGGAAGAGAGGGCTGATGGACTCAGCGTCTAAAGGCGCCGGTGACCGAGGGGGTGGGGACTGAGCCGCCCGCCTCTGCCGCCCACCACCATCTCAGGAAAGGCTGCTGGTGCTGGCTGCCCGTTCCAGCTGCAGGGTGACACTGGGGGGAGGGGTCTCCCACCCAGTGCTCCTTCACTTTGGGCCTGGCCTCAGGCCCCTGGTGCTTCCCCCCCTCCTCCTGGGGAGGGGGCCCGTGAAGAGCAAATGAGCCAAACCTGACCACTGGCCTCCTGGAGCCAGAGAATGGGGTGCGTCTGCCGGCTGCCCCCACCCAGTGCCCAGCCGTCTTCCCTGAGCCAGCCGGCAGGTGGTGGGCATGCTTGCCTCACCTTCCTCCGGGGGTGGCCAGGAGGGGCCCAGACTGTGAATCCTGTGCTCTGCCCGTGACCACCCCCCACCCCCATAAATCCCATTGCATAGGTTTAGAGAGAGCACGTGTGACCACTGGCATTCATTGGGGGGGGTGGGATATTTGGGCGGAAACCGCCCCAGCCTTAGTCCCCAGGGCAAAGCGCTGGGGGGAAGACGGGGGAGTCAGGGAGGGGGGAGTCTCCGAAGAGGGGGGAGTCTGGGAGCGGGGAGGGGTGGCCCAGCCTGTAAATTTCTGTATATGCGCTGCTGTAGATACCGGAATGAATTTTCTGTACATGTTTGGTTAATTTTTTTTGTACATGATTTTTGTATGTTTCCTTTTCAATAAAATCAGATTGGAACAGTGAATACTCTTTCTGCCCTCCTTCCCCACCATGCGACCCGGTCTGGCCGGAGCCCCTGACCCGCCAGGGCCCACGGGCACAGCCGACCGGCTGCCAGCTGTTCCTGGGGGGAGGCCGAGCCTGGCCCTCACGGTGCCTGCCCTCCTCCCACTCAATGCAAAGCGGAGAGAGGGTTGCTTTCTCATTTACCGCCCCCCCGACACCACTGGGTAAGGTATGTCACGGGGGGCTCAGTATTTACTGACCCATGAGTGACCTGCGAGGAGTCTCAGGGAATATGCCAGTCATGAGACCTTGTCCCTGCTCCCATGAAGGCACAAGGCGATGTCTGGGAGAGCATCGCGCTAAGTGCAGAGTGAGGTTCACCTATGTCTCTGTCCCAAGGCCTAGCCCAGTGCCTGGCTTAAAGAGCTGGTGTTGAATGAACCCAAGAAGGGGCTCTGGCTGGTGTGGCTCAGTGGACTGAGCACTGGCCTGGGAACCCAAAGGTGCTCGGTTCGATTCCCAGTCAGGGCACACGCCTGGGTTGCAGGCCAGGTCCCCAACAAGGGGTGCATGAGAGGCAACCTTACATGTTTCTCTTTCTCCCTCCCTTCTCCTTTCTAAAATAAAATCTTTAAAAGGAAAAAAAAGGGTGCTCCTACAGGGCAACTAGCCAAGTGCCTTTCTGTGCCCTCTCCCACATGAGACTGGCAGACACACCTCGGATCCCAGCTCTGCCCCTTCAGTGCTTCTCCCGGGAAACGGCTCTTCCCCTAAAAGTCCAGGGCCAGAGGGAATCATCACCCATTTGCGGTTCCATTTGTGGATGCGTGTTCATTGGTTGATTCTTCTATGTGCCCTGACCAGGGATTGAACCTGCAGCCTTGGCATGTCGGGATGACATCCCAACCACCTTAGCTAGATACAGACAGGGCCAGTATCTTCTTGGTTTTTAAAAATATATATATTTTATTTCTTTATTTTTAGAGAGAGGGGAAGGGAAGGAGAAAGACAGGGAGAGAAACATCAGTGTGTGGTTGCCTCTCACGCGCCCCCCACTGGAGACCTGACCCGCAACCCAGGCACGTGCCCTGACTGGGAATTGAACCATGGTCCTGTGGTTCACAGGCCCGTGCTCAATCCACTGAGCCACACCAGCCAGGGCGGGCCAGTATCTTCTTTTTAATAGAACCAAGCCTATCATATTGAGGACTGAAAAGTGGGGAATCCCACCCCACCCCCCAGGTTAGATGGTTGAGAGGCAGAGACACAGGGACTGGGACTGGTTGTTCCAGACGTCCGTCCATCTGTCCATGCAGCCTTCTCCCTGGCGCTGAGCCCTCCTGCAGCTTGGCGGAGCTGAGGCTCAGGGTCCCTGGCAGTGAGGCCGGCGGCCAAACCTCCACCACCTGCAAACCGTGTGACCCCTAGCAAGCTGATCCCACACTTGAACCTGTGTCCCTCACCCCCTCCAAATGCTCCGTCGCTTCTGGAGAGATTTACTTTTCACTGTCCGTAGTTTCATCCTTCCTTAAAAAACAGGACTTTGCAAAGCCTTCGATTCTGCGCTAGGTGCGTACATACTATCTACCCAAAGTACAAGGGGAATGTACAATTCGGCCCTGTGCTCCCGCCCTGCAGCCTTTTGGAAAGAATCACCGTCTCGAATGCATTTGGACACCCGGTAACCTGAGCACGCAGCTTTGGAGAGCCTTTCCCGAGTGCGAGCGGAGAAAACGGGCTCGGCGTCACTCAACGGCAGCCTGATTAAATGGCTTACGGTTCATCTGTGGTTTCGGAATTTGATGCCTGATGCGCTGACAAGGATCTCCAAGGCAGTGAGGAAAAGCAAGTTGTGGACCAAGTTATCTCTAACAGAAGCTAAGAGAACATACTAGTTCGCTTCATGTTCACGCGTCAGAGGGATGTGGGATGATCACCCCATCTCACAGATGGGGGGCGACTGAGAGGCAAAAGGGTCCCTCGTCCAAGGTCCTATAACGAACTGGTAGACGTTGGATTTGAACCTGACGGCCTGGGGGGATTCACTCTCCATGGCCACGAGGGGTGACCTGTGGGAGCTGGGCATGAAAGCGGACACACCCAACCTACACCAACAGCACCTCGTGTTTCTCTCTGAAATCCCGAGTCTGGCTGTGAGGTTGGCTGCTCCTGCTACGTGGCTGACATTGAGCTAACAGTCTGAGAAGTGGTGGGGAGGAATCTCTTTCCTCTCATTTTGGTATGTTGCCTGAAGGGTTTAAAAAATTTTTTTTAGATTTTATTTATTTTTAGACAGAGGGAAAGGGAGGGAGAAAGAGAGGGAGAGAAACATCAATGTGTGGTTGCCTCTCACACGCCCCCTACTGGGGATGTGGCCCATAACTCAGGCATGTGCCCTGACTGGGTATCGAACTGGTGACTTCTTGATTCACAAGGCAGAGCTCAATCCACTAAGCCACACCAGCCAGGGGACCTGGAGGTTTAATACAGGCTTAAAAACAGTCCACCTGCCCTCCTGGAACCAGCTGAAGGCCCTCCCTTAGCACTGGGCCTAACCAGTCAGTTTTCAGCACTGACTACTAGGTCTATGGACCTTGGGAAGGCAGAGCCCGAGTCTCCTTGTCCTTTTCGAGATCAGAGGTGCAGCTGTCCCGTGTCCCCCACGAAAGCACTGCCCATCAGCCCACAGTCCATGCCACACCTGTTGGAAGAATCCGTTTCCTTACCTGCAACATGAACACAACAGCGGAAGCATCTACCCACGGGGTTGCTGTGAGGACCCAAACAACTTACCAAAAGCACCAGCATTTTGGGCCCTGGCCGGAGTGGCTCAGTCGGTTGGAGCATCATCCCGTAAACCAAAAGGTCATGGGTTTGATTCCTGGTCAGGGCAGATACCTAGGGTGTGAGTTTGCCCCCTTATTGGGGCACGTGCAAGAGGTAACCAACTGATGTTCCTCCCTCCCTTGCCCTCTCTCTAAAATCAATAAGCAGGACCTCAGGTGAGGATTCAATAAATAAGCAGCATTCTGGAAAGTACCAGGCAGGTAGTGTGATAATTAGCATTATCGTTAAACTCTTTGGCCTGAAAATCACACCCTAAGCCTCCTTCCCCCCACCTGCAAAGGGGAACAGGACATACCTCAGCAGATAAACACGTATGTACCAAAGACATGCAGGAAACTGGAGGAATGGATCTACAGAACACGGGGCGGGGGTGGAACCAAGTGCTTTTTGTTGTAATTTTTTACCTTTGTTTTTGTTTCTGAGTAGCACCTGCTCCAGTAGAACGTCCTGAGTCTCTGGCACATTCAGCACTCACCAGACTTGGGCCACTGCACAGACCAGACAACAGAAGCTGGGCTGGCCGTGGGCAGCCCTGGCCACCCCCGGGGACCTCCAGCACCCTGAGCACCTGTCACATCTGTGGAGTGGACCCTCCTCCCCGCGTGGGCTACACAGCGCCTGGAAGTACCAGGAAACCACAGGATAACCACTGCGCACTTCCCGGGGACTAGGGAAATCCATTTTAGGCTCACACTGATGTGCAACGTGGGAGAGGGTGAAATTTGAGGAGACGAGAAAAGAGACATTTCTTGCCTGGGGCTGGCAGCTTCCAGCACACCCTCCCCGATTCCCCAGAGGTCCTCTCTGGATGACTCAATCTCTGCTGCGAGAGGTGCAGGGTGGAAAAGTTTGAGAAGCCTCAGAGGCGGCTACATGTCAATTTTGTTTTCATCCTTCCAGACCCTCCTGCGCCCCCTTGTGACCAAGGCCCCACATTGCAAGGTGAAGGGTGCTCGTGAGCTCAGCGTCTCAAAAGGCCTGAGATTCTCGGGGGGGTTAGAACCCCTGACCTTGGGGTGCAGGGAGGGGGCAGGCTGTCACTAAACGCAGCCCTAGCCTCACCTAGGGTGGGAGCTGGGGTGACCTGGAGGGTCGGAAACTGAGTCCTGCCTCCTGCAGACCAGCTCCTCTTCCCCGAGTACAATGGGATTATAAAAGCAAGGAGTTGATTGTTTCTTCCGGCGGGCCGGGCAGGCCCAGACCTGACAGGGTTTTCCGTCGCTGGGACGAACGCGGTGTTCCGGTGACAGCCTCGACTCACCCGAACCGTGGGACCGGGGCATGTTACTCCCAGGCCACTAACTTCCCAGCGAGGCCGTCGCCCACCTTTTCCCTGCCCGGCACCAGCACCAGGGGCCACTCCCGTCCCGTCTCTGTGATTCTCGTCGCCCAGGGCAGCCACCACCGACCGAGCCGCTCGCAGACAACCGGAACCAGAGCCCCCGTGCACCGCAGCCCTGCCGCACCGGCCACAGGAGCGGCAGGTGGCAGGAGCGACCTCGGAGGGGAAGGATCTTGGGGGTCACATTCCAGCACCCAGCGGGATTTCCTCAGGTTTAAAACGGCGAGGGGAGGGGATCACTGCGTTGGAGGAAGTTTCAAATGTGCAAGAAAAACAAACAAATCCTATAGCAAATAACTTTATTTCTATCATTCCTGTTTAAAGAGCCGTGGAAATCTAGAAAGTATAAAAAACCACACAGACAGCTGCCATGGGGGGTGGGGGGCGAGTGAAGGACCCACAGAGCCCTTAAACGCCGGTCTCCAGCGCGGCATCGGGTCTGGGGCTCCGTGAGGACGGCCGCTCCCTCCCAGCGTGGCCCGCAAGTCGGAATCCCCGGGGGGTGGGATCCTGGCATCTGCCCTTTAAAACAAATTTTCCTCCTAATTTTCAGCTTGAAGGCCTCGCCCAAACGCCCAGGAGGACCTGGCACCCCCAGCCCAGGCTGGGCCTCGCTAATCCTGGACTGAAACGCAGGAACGGCGCACCAGGTGCCACCTGTTGTTTTGCAGGGTCTCGAGCTCTGGAGGAAATGCATCCCGCCTGCCCCGGCTTTTCCTCCCGGGGCTCCCGTCCGCCTCTGGAACGGCGGTCCCACCAGTGCTGCATCCGGCCTGGCCGGGCCTTCCTCTCCACCGGAGGTCACGTGCCTGTCTGTGTGACCTCAGGCAGGGAGCGAGTCCAAGGTGGTGAGAGGCTCCTGAGCAGCCAGGCGTGCTGGTTCCTGGCGGGCATCTCCAGCGGCGCCCCGGGGGCCTGGTGACGCCATGGCGACACCAGGGCAGAGGGCGTCAGAGGGCGCTCTCAGGTGACCGCCACCCGGGAGCTGGCACAGGGTCCTGAGCAGGGCTGGGTGGACGCAGCCGGGCCCCGCGCCCCCTGGCGTGCAGCGGCTGCTGGCGCTTGTGAGGAGCACAACCTGCACAACTTCAGCGTCTGCAGGAAACGGTCTGGATAGGTCCAGTGACTGGTCTCTCTCGCCCGGAGAGGCCTTCGTGGGGGAGGGCATGGGGACACACCTGGGCGTGCGGGGCGGGGCGTCTCCGAGGCGGCCGGCCGGGCCGGGGGTCACTTGGGGCCGAGGCACTCCACAACACCACTCCCCTTCATGCCGTCGAAAAAGAAGAAGTTGTTGTGAGGCGGGTCCCTCTGAGACAGGGCCTGGGAGAGAAGGAGAGCTCTAAAATGGAGAAAAGGGAGGGGGGAAAAAGAGCAAACCACCCCCAAAGCCGACCCTCCATAAGCAGTGTGGGCAGTGGTTTCCTAACAGGTCTGATTTGGCCTCCCCAGGGGCCAGCCGGCCATCTTCCCAGACATTCTCCGCCCCCAATACTAGTGAAAGTTCATGTAAAGACTGAGAGGTGGGAGAAGTGAGCCAGCTGGGCTGGGTGGGCTCAGAAAACACCACACGGAGGCTGAAGGAGGGCCCCCGGAGCTCAGGAGGAGGAAGGCGGAGACTGTGTCGGGGAGGGACCGGGGAAGGAGGGGGCTGGAGGGGGCGTGCCCCCAGAGGTGCGCACGGAGACATGGGGGCATGCACGACCACTGAGTCTCTCGGCAGGGCCCTCAGACAGCTGTGCCTCTCTGAACTCACTCTCCCGCGTCAAACAAACAGGAGTGTGTTATCCTAGGCATTAAGAGATGACACGCCTCAAATACCTTAAACAGTGCTGATCACGGAGGCCGCCGCCCGGTGAATGACGGGGACAATCACCTATGACTCTGAGAAAGGCCTGGCTGTGGCCTTCCTGACCCGCGGGGACGTGCGGGGACCCGTCTGCAAGGCCGCTCCTCCAGGAAGGGCCTGAAGCCGCTCCCTCCCCTCGGGCACGGTGACTGTCCCGTGGGGTTGGCAGGAGGACAGGGCACCTTCAGGACAGGGTCAGGCCGCCGGAAGCCCAAGCTGACTCAGGCGTGCCCGAGTGGGCTGCGTTCGTGCATGTCCGTGACTTTCCCGTGAGGTTCCGAACCCAAGCTGGGTGACCTCTGAAGGAGGACGCCACCCACGCAGGCTTCCAGTCCGTGTCCCCAGGTTCCCGGGACAGTGCCTCCTTGACCTGAGTGCCAGCCCCAATCTGCTCCCTCAGCTGTGAAATGGGGACCACCGCACCTGCTCTGAGTGGCCATCGGCCACCTGCCCCGGGAAACGCACCGAACGCCCGCTGGGTGTCGGCTGCAGTGCGAGGCACCGGGAGGGCGGGCTGCCCCTGCACTCGCGACAAGGCCCAGCAACAGCGCCTCCTGCTGGAGCCGCTGCTGAGAAGGCGGCGCCATCAGCCTGGCAGTGGGCCCGCACGGAGCGAGGTCTCGGTGACTGGGGGCCACTGCTGCTGACAGGGCCGGGTCCTGTGCCAGTGTCTGAGGACCCCAAGCACCCAGCCAGGTGGGAGGGCCCGAGAGCCCAAAGCTGCACCTCCGAGAGCCTGGAGCGAGGCTGAGATGACACAACTCGACCTAACGCGGAGCCCGGGGTGGCCGCCCGGGGACGAGGCCGAATGCCTGGGGCTGCAGCAATGTGGGGACGGAAGGGGACCAGGATGGCCACGGGGACAGGCTTTTACCCACAGGCCTCGTCTCCTGCCGCTTCCTTCCTGAGGGGTCAGAGGGCCTCTTGGCAGAGAGGAGAGGAGGCCCTACTGCCCGCTGACTGCGGGGGCCTGTTAACTGCGCCTGCTCGTGGGGCGGGGGAGAGGGGTGAGCAGGGTATGGGGTGAAGCAGGGCACGGGGTGAGCGTGGGGCAAAAGGTAAAGCGCTGCTTCCCAAGCCAGATGGGGGTAGGCGGGGATTCCAGACACACCCGGCAACCAGGAATGTGAGTGTGCCGGACAAACAGAAACGGGACGCCGGGCGACAGCTGTCCCCAGCAGGCCGGGGGAGGGGCTGCGCCGGGGGTCAGGGCTGGGCGCAGAGGGGCCGCAGCAAACAGTGGGGTGCAGGCCTCGGCCGCAGCCCTGGGCCCGCAAGGACCACGCAGACCCACGCGGCGGGGAGCACGGCCCGACACCAGACGGCCCCTCCATTCCCCACACCCCCACCCGCTCTGTACCTCAGGGGTCCCGACAGTTCCCCCCTCACAGGGTGGCTGGGAGGACAGGTGAGTTCAGCCGTGTGAAGAACAGTCTGGTGGCACGTGGGGGACTTCCAGGGCACGTCCTCTGTCACAGGCTACAAGGCCGCGCACGCCCCTGCCCCCACCTTATGCTTTTCCCATCGCCGCTCTGGCCCTTAACCAACCAGGCACCACCCTGCCCCGTGGGAGGAAAAAACAAGCTGCCACCGCAGCATGGAGATCCCGGCAAAGGTAAATCCAACACCGTTAGGCAAATAGCAAAGTCCCCAAAGGACGCAAAATGTATGTGAGGCATGCTATAGTCTCAGCAACCCCAACGTCCCTCTGGAAGAAATTTAAAGCGCTGTGCCAGCGATAGGTCACACGACCCCAGGTGAGACGCACCCCCTTCAGAGAGAGCCAACGGCGCCCACGGCTGCCCCACACCCCGAGGGACTGCGGCCCCGAGACAGCACCCTGTCCAGCTGTGGGTGCAGCTCAGGGCAGGCACTCAGACCGGTCTGCTGCACGCCCAGTGGACGGGCTGGGGAAGGGAAGGAAGGAAAAGGGTGGGGACACCAGGAGGAGCCAGGCCGGCACTCGCACACGTCCAGGGTGTGTGGCGGGGGGTCGACTGCCGTCTGCTCCACGGCGACGGTTTACCTTCACGATCTCCTGGGCCAAGATCCCCCCGACCACGGCGCACACCGGGGCCATCTCGGAGAAGCAGTACCTGGAAGAGAGGACACAGGATGAAGCGCTGAGGGGGAGGAGGCTGCCGGGGCGGTGATGGGCCGGGCGCCCGAATGAATCATCTCCTGCCAGGAGGAGGCCATTCCAGCGGCAACGCTAAGGCCGGTGGCCCCTGGGCGAGAAAGTCCAGCCCGATCGGGGTTCGCGCTCTGGTGGCTGGGAAAGACCTCTGAACCTTGGCAGGCGGGAACCGTTTCACACCACTTTTTTTTAAGTTGAAGGAAAGACTATCTCTGTGCCCCCTGAAAATACGGCCCCCTCCAACTCCAGATGTTTCAGCGCCCGGGTCACATTCTCGCCATTCCCTCCTGAACCCCATGGGCGCTGGGTTCCATGTGCTGCTCCCAGACGGATGCCAGGGGGTAGGCCTGTGTTAACATGCAGGCTTAGGAGACCTGGGGCCCGGAATGAAAGTGCAGGGACCGAAAAAGTCGTCGCCACCTACGTGGACACCAGCTCTACCGGGCCAGGATGGGGCATCCGGGGGACAAATTTCAGCTGATCCCGTCACCGGCCCCTCAACACTCGTCCTGGGGACTGAGCACTCGCTCCTGCCACCTCCCCACAGGACACGCGCTCTGTCAGTCCCCAGCCCTGGACTCCAGGGTACTTCCGAAATGAAAACACGTGGACACCGACAAGGTGCGACTCCCACCCCAACCCCCCCCCCCTGTGTTCATCCTCCTGGACGTGTTTAAAAGGGCGCACATCTAAACGCGTGCAATTTTAAAGCCAGTGACACCAAGTACTGTTCATTCCACATCGTCACCTACTGAGGGGCATTCAGACTGTTCAGCATCGCGACCCCACATCCTGGCACAAATGTCCCCACGACCTGGGCAAATCCCGGAACGCAGAACTGCTGGGTCCCGACACATTTTGCCAAACTGCCCTCCTTCAGAAAGGCCACGTACGTCCATCACACCCTCACCAGCTGGGAATGGAAGTGCCCTCCCCTCACACGCCCGCCAGCACCAGCACTGCCGTCTGTCCGTCTGTACATCTGTCCGTCTACTCAGCCACAGAGGAAACGCGTCCTCCTGGGGGCAGGTCCAGCACGGAGCTGCCACACACCCCAAGGACGGCCCCAAAGACAACAGATCACTCGGAACTCGACGATTCAATGGCAGCGAAGTGTAAGAATGTTTTCCTTTTATTTAAAAACAAAAACCAAAGCACACCTATTCTCTTGTGATCATTCCACACAATTTACTATTCTGCCTTTTTTTTTTCTCCCTCTTAAAAATATATTCTCTTAGCCCTGGCTGGCGTAGCTCAGTGGATTGAGCACGGGCCTGCGAACCAAAGGGTCACATTCCCGGTCAGGGCACATGCCTGGGTGACGGGCCAGGCCCCCAGTGGGGCACCAGAGAGGCAACCACACAGTGATGATTTTCTCCCTCTCTCTAAAAATAAGTAAATAAAATCTTAAAAAAAAAAAGTATATTCTCTTCACTAAATGCTAGGAAACCAACCCAGGAAAACACGAAAAGGACTACGCACCCTGTTAAGTGGGACTTACGTCAGGAACGCAAAGTCCGCCCAACACCTGAGAAAACAATCGACGTGGTGGTACTGTACTAACCGAGCAAAGGACGATAAACACACGACCACCCAAAAGACACAGAAAAAGCACGTGAAAAAAACCCAGCACATTTGCACGATAAAAACACTCAGCAAAGTGGGAAGAGAGGAAAACCTCTTCAGCCCGAGGAAGCGTGTCTGTGGGAGACCGAGCGCTTCCCTCCCGCGATCAGGAACCGGCCGAGGATGCCGGCTCTCCCCATGGCTACTGCTCAGCGTGTTGAAGGCTCCAGCCAGGGCAGTGAAGGAAGAAAAAAGACATGAGACCTCAGAGTGGAAGGGCAGACGCGGCCAGAGGTGACATGCTCCAGTATATAGAAAATACAAAGGGATTCACAGGAAAGTCACCTGAACTATTAAATTAATTCAGCAAGGCTGTAGGATGCAAGATTAATATACGAAAATCAATTGTACTTCTATACATTAGCCGTGAACATTCTAAAAATGAAATTAAAATTAAGGCCCTGGCCGGGTAGCTCAGTTGGACAGAATGTCATCCCGACACGCCAAGGTTGCGGGTTTGATCCCCGGACATGCACAAACAAGAATCAACCAAAGAACGCATTAAGTGAAACCACAAACTGATGTCTCTTTCACCTACCCTCTCCCTAGAATATACAAAAAAGAATTCCACTTACAATAGCATCCAAAACAAAGCATTTAAGAACAAATATAACAATGGATGTGTAAAGCATACTCTAAAGACTACAATATATTGTTGAAAAAGTAAAAGACCTAAATAAATGGAAATATATCTCATGTTCCTAGATCAAGAGACTTAGTATTGTTACGATGGCAATACTTCCCAAATTAATCTATATACTTGACAAAAATCACTACATCAAAACTGCAGCTGCCTTTTTTGCAAACACGGAAAAGCCACCCTAAGATTCCCATGCGAACATAAGAGACCCAGAACAGCCAAAAGAACCTCACGAAAGTACCAGTCACAGAAGGCAGTGTCCCGATTTTAAAACTGACTACTGAGGGAGCTGCGCTAACCAAGACCGCGTGGCACCAGTGTGCGGACAGGCACAGACAGCGATGAACAGAAGCGGGAGTCCAGAGATAAATACGTAAACACGCACACAGTCAATGATTTTCTGACCAGCCCATTCCACAGGGTGAAAGAGCCGTTGCAACAGGCGGCACGGGGATGACTGGGCCTCCATGTGCGGAAGAATGAAACGGGACCAGTCCTTCCCGTCATCTACAAAAGTTAACGCAAAGGTGAAGCACAGCCCTGGCTGCTGTGCCTCAGTGGACTGATCACCAGCCTACGAACCTTTCGAGAGGTCACCAGTTCAATTCCCAGGCAGGGCACAAGCCTGGGTTGTAGACCGGGTTCCCAGCTGGGAGCATGGGAGAGGGAAATGATCTCTCACGTATCAGTGTTTCTCTCCGTGTCCCCCTCCCTTTCCCTCCCCCTAAAACAAACAAACAAACAAACAAACAAACAAACGAATCACAGACCTAAATGTAAAAGCTAAAACTGTAACACTCTTAGAAGAAAACAGAGGAGTAAATCTTTATGGCCTTGGATCAGGCAAGGATTTCTCGGGTGTGATACCATAAGGACAAGTGGGAGACGAAAACAGATCAACTGTATTTCATGCAACTCAAAAACTGTACTTCAAAGGGTTCCATCAAGAAAATAAAAAGACAGGCCCTGGCTGGTGTAGCTCAGTGGATTGAGCGTAGGACTGAAAACCAGATCACGGTTCAATTCCCAGTCAGCACACATGCCTGGGTTGCAGGCCAGTTCCCAGTGGGGGGCATGTGAGAGGCAACCACACATTGATGCTTCTTTCCCTCCCTCCCTCTGTCTAAAAATAAATAAATAAAATCTTAAAAAAGCAAACAAAACAAACCACTCTCCAACTTCTCTTTCATATGAATATTTTTTGTATATAAATGTTTGCTCACATTATTTCTTTAAGGTATATTCTTATCAGCAAGGAGAATTACCGTGTCAAAGAGGGAACATTTTAATGACTCTTTAAAAAAAAGATTTTATTTATTTTTAGAGAGTGAGGAAAGGAGCAAGAAAACGGGAGAGAAACCTCCACGTGTGAAAGATTCCGTCACCAGGCAGGTATCTCTCGCACGGCTGCAACCAGGAATCACAGCGGCGACCCTTTTGATTTGTGGGCCGGTGCTCAATCCACTGAGCAACACCAGCCAGGGCTAATAATTCTCTTTTTAAAATTTTGTATTTTTATTGACTTGAGAGAAAGAAAGACTGATTTGTTGTTTTACTTATTTATGCATTTATTGGTTGCTTCTTGTATGTGGCCCAACTGGGGACCAGAAGGAAAAAAACAACAAACCCAACCCGAACACGCAATACCTTGCCGTACGGGGATGAGGCTCTAACCAACTGAGCTACTACCTGGCCAGGGTGATTTTAGTGACTCTTGATCCGTATTTGCAAAGACTTCCCCCTTTAAAAGGTTGCACCTTTTCCCACCACCCTTGCTAACAATAAATGAGTATTTTAAAAAAAACCTACAAAGGGCCCTGACCGGTCTGGCTCCGCTGGTTGAGTGTCGTCCTGCAAAGCAAAGGGGCGCAAACAGGAGTCAACCAATGGATGTTTCTCTCCCTCTCTTTCTCTTCTTCTTCCTCCAAAAATAAATGAAATCTTTTTAAAAATCTACAAAGAATTTTGCTGATTTTACATATGCTATGATAGAAATGGAGATGACACGGTACTAAGTGGTCAGTGATTTTTCTCTGAGTAATGGAATTATGAGTGATTTTCATCTTTGAGTTTATTGGGTACTATCTGATCTCTTTCTGTAACACATATTATTATTTCTGTCATTTAAAACCCAGTTAAGTCCACAAAAGAGCAAATGTTGTATAGTTCCACTTATACAAGATACCTAGAATAAACAGAAAACATCTACCAGGGGCTTGGGGGAGGCAGAAAGGAAAGTTAGTGTCTATAGTTTTCACTGTTATGTGTTTATAATGAACATTCATAATTTGAGTATGGAATATAATTTTTACTGTTTAAAAATGTTTTATTGTGGTTAAATATATCAATATAAAATATCCCATTTTAACCATTCTTTTTTAAAAGAAGATTTTAGCTATTTATTTATTTTAGACAAAAGGGAAAGGACAGCCAAAGAGAGAGAGAGAAAGAGGGAAAGAAACATCATCGTGTGGTTGCTTCTTGCCCACCCCCCAAGCAGGTACCTGGCCCCACAACCCAGGCATGTACCCTGAGTGGGAATCGAACCAGTGACCCCTTGCTTTGCAGGCTGGTGCTCAATGCACTGAGCCACACCAGCCAGGGCGATTCTCACCAGTCATGAATGCACGGTTCAGCGGCATTAAGTGCATTCACACTGTTGTACAGTCACCACCACTATCCACCTCCAGAACTTCTTCATCTTCTCCAACTGAAAATCTGCATCCATTATATGCCTTAAATACCCGCTAACAAGATGACGGCTAAATAAATAACTAAATGTCAGACAAGAACATGGATGTAAATTTTTGACAGAAATAAGTCTGACATGCTGGAAAAAGGCTATTATGTGAAGAGTATGACCTCACTTTGACTTTAAAAGGAGAAACTGTATGAATAAAATACACACAGAACTGTGAGGCCAAACCCCAAAATGTTAGTCGCGGCCACTTCCCAACACTGGAATCCTGGGCAGGGCTCTTCCCTTCTCTGTTTTCTGCCAGCAGGCACCTGTTCCCTTCACAATCAGAAAAGCAACAAAGCTCTCTGGGAGGAGAATAAGTAAGGCCCCACAAAGGTTGGCACGAGCGGACAGCGGACAGATGAGGGGTGCGGAGACTTGTGCATGGCTCCGGGCGGCGCACGCACCGCGCGAGGTGGCGCAGCTGCCAGACGGCCTATTCCATCTCAGGCCGTGAAGAGGCCACCGAACCCTCTTACTTAAGGGGCAACGGAGCAGGAGCACCTGAGCACACGAGGACCCGCACACGGGAAAGCGGCCTCTCTAAAGTGGGCGGGGGGGGGGGGCGGGCAGGAAACACTTCTTGTGGGAAGCAGGGCCTCTGCCCCTGGCCTGGGTCGCACAGCCAGGCTGCTCGTCCCTCCAAATGCCCAAATTAGTCGCTGGGCTGCACGCTCACGGTCAGGTACTTGGATGTGCTTGGCGAACGAAGCCCTGCCTGAGCCAGAGCAGACACCACCTGCTTCCCACGCGGAGCCCTCCTTCCGCCCAGCCCGAGTGCCTGGCTACGAGTCTGAGACGCCCCCCCCCAACCTGCAGGGCCAACAGCCCCTGAACTCTCCCCGGTGCCAACCCACGAAAGCACCTCTGCGGCCGAGGGCTCAGCGGGTAGTTTAAAGGCTGGTCCCCCATCTGCAGTGCTGCCAGCGCCCACCCAGGGGCCGAGGCCCCGGAAAGACACGACCAGGGCAGGATGAGACCCTGACTCACCTGACTGTGGGAAGAGGGGCCAGGCTGGGTGCCGGCACAGCAGGTGGGTGAGGTCTCGGCTGGCTGCTCACTGAATCCTTGAGCAAGTGATAGAAAAGTCTTTCTGCTCTGAGTTTCCTCATTTAAATAATGGGGAAATAATCACACCTCCAGGGACGACGGTGGCAATTAAGTGGGGTAGAGCAGAGACGGTCTCCCGCACACGGTGCTGCTGTTATTGGTGCATGAACCGTGTACGAGGCCCGTGGCTTCCTCACCTGGGACGAGGGCTGTTTGGGGAGAGACCACGCCCACGAGCGCTGCTCCGTGCACCACTGCCGTCATGATCGCCGCTACAAGCTGGCGGCACGGCGACGCGATTTGAGAAGTTTCCCCAAAGACAACGTCAGAAAACAAGAGTGAGCTGACCACCACGGAACTGCCTGGAAGGGGTCCTGACTCAGTCACCGCGTGGACTTCTGCCATCAAACCCTGAGCCTGACCGTGTGTAACAGCGAAGGCTGGTCACATTGGGATGAAAGTGCCCAAGAGCCCCAGGGAGTGGAGGCCGGGGACACGACCGCGCCTGCTGTTGAGGGACCCGCTGGCGAGACACCTGTGGAGGCAGCGGGGTGACGTCCACCGGGGAACGGAGCGCACTGTTCTGTGCCGGCCGCCCCCTGCCACACGCGCAGCTCGCTGCCGGGACAGAAGCCCGTCACACTGGAGGCTGCGTGGCCTGAGCCGGGGACTCGGAGGCCGCTATGCTGGAAACCATGGAGCTGGTTAAGGCGGCGGAAACCACCTCCCGAGGGTCGCTGCCACGTGGAAAGGCGCACAGCAGTGCACGGGGACTGGGCGCCACCCCAACTCTGGACCGTGCGAGTCCGAAACACCTACTGAGCAACCAGGCTGCGCGCACCTCTCTGCTTCTCGCACCTGGTGGCCGCACCAACGCAGGGGCCCAGGGAGGACGGGACGCGGCTCGGAAGGCTCTCCGCGGTCTCAGCACAGCACATCCCCAGCTCACAGCAGTGCCGCGGGGGTTTACCAACCTGGGGCGAACCCGCGAGCGCCGAGACCCACCTGACAAAGTCTTCGGGAAGCAGGTCAGGATTCACACCCAGGGCATCAAGCACGTCATTTCGAATCTGGAGCAGCAGCTCCGAATCTTCCACAAAGGTGTCGCAACCGGGGTCTCGGCCCTTGTCCGTGCGGAACTTCAGGAGCACTGGGGAAGGAGAAGGAAGGGAGGTGAGTGCAAGTCTTCCCACAGCCGGTGCTTGCAGATGCTGGGTGTTCAGAGAACTGCGCACCAACGAGGGTGTGGGCCACGGGGCAGGCAGTGCACTTTCCGTTTATTCTACAAGTACAGTCAGAAAGGTAACTAATTACCAAAACAACTAAACTGCCTGTGATGAGTGCCAGGACAGCGTCCCCGAGGGTCTGACACCATGGGGAGGTGTCAGGTGAGGGACCGACGGGGGCTGCCTGTGGGGCGGAGGGTGAAGCTTCCTGCACAGGGAGGAGGGCTGACGCCGAGCCAGAGGCGAGGTCAGGAGTGGGAGACGCGCGTTCTAGGCATCAGTTCAAAGGGCTGCTCCGGCCAGAAAGGCCAGCCAAGGGCTCAGACTCATCAGCCAGGCGGGTCATTACAAACAAACCCTCCCTTAGTGCTGCAATTATGTCAACCTCCAGAAATGAGTGTTTAATTTTGGTTGCATGCCTGAGAAAGGTTGAGATGACGGCAGCCAATCAGAACTGCCATGTAACGAGACCCTCACGGGCTTCCATTTCCAGCCCAACCACAGAGCCACAGGCAGGAGCACGGCTGGGAGCAACCCAAACCCAAACCCAAACCCCTTCTAGTCCCACCACGTGCTCGATGGGGACTTTACAAAGTTCACAAAGTGCTTCCACTGAAGTCTCACTGTTATTGGCTGACTGAAAAAGCGAACTTTCCCAGCAAACTATACTCTCTTATCAGTACCAGGGGCTCACCCCCCAAATAAAGGTGGATTGAAAATGCTGGCAAGCGCTGTGAGGCCCTTTGAAAACGCGTTGGAGCCCACCCCAGACTGAGGGATGAGTCCTTTCTACTTGTTTTCCTGAGACTCACAAGCGGCCGCGGGGGCGGGCTGTCTGCGTGAGTGAAGGCGGCGGGGAGAGGACAGGGAAATGTCACGGCAGACAGCTGCAGCGAAGCTCGAGACCTTCATAAACGGGTTATCCGGGTTCCGAGAGGACGCCCACCCACGCTGCCCAGGGAAAAGGAGACACGGCCGGTGCCAGGGCTCGAGATGGGCCCGCTTCTCTGGCAACTCTCAAGTAAATGCCCAGTGCGGGGCTCTGCACAGCAGAGGTTGAAAAGGGAGGGCTTTTTGAGAACAGCTGTTTCGCACACAGTTTGCCATCTGGGAACAGGACTCTCCCCTCTCTCAAGAACGCAGCTCCTCGAACCCTGCACGGTGCCTGACCACTGGGCAGCCAGCTCAGGGCCAATGACATCTGGGTGCTCTGAGCTGATCTGCCTTCCCCTCAGCTCAGCTTCGAGCCCTGCAGGTGGGCTGCTGGGATCCCAGTGTGGAGTAAGTCGGTGCAATCGCAGGAGCGTCAGGGGCCAGGGCAGAGGTCAGCCAGCAGGAGAGGCGGTTAATCCCTGTTCAGACCAAGCCTCTTTCCCAGCAGCATCCTGAGGACAAAGGAACCCGGGAACCTGCTAGCCCAGCCCAAGCAGGGGATACTCCAAGTGTCCATTATGGAACGCCAGCGCTGTCGCTGTCCATCCCTCCTGAGAGGACACAACCACGAACCCAGAATGCGGATTAGGGCTGCCTGCGCCGATGACGGAGGCAATGCCAAGTGCAGCCGCTCGTCCCGCACGATCCAAGGCCCAGCGGCAGCCGCTAGGAAAGTGACAGAAGCCGCTGGACTTCAGGCTGTCAGGGAGGTGGACAGCTACCTGTGCGATCTTCTCATTTCTGTCACTGGGACAGAAGCATCAACTGGCGTGGCAAGGGAGAAGTCATTTTTACAGACATCATCACAAAGCTTTTCGTTCTTTTGGTTAAATATAAGCTCCTGGAGAAAAGCTCAAACCATCATAGTAACAGCAAAACCAGTGGTGCCTGCTAGGCGCCAGGCATCATCATGAAGATTCTGCACACACTGACACCCACCCAGAACTGGCTGGTGAGGTCGGTAGGTCCTAGCAGTCTCCCTACTTTATAGAAGAAACCAAAGTTCGGAGAGATTAAGTGGCTTCTCCAGTGCAACTGCCAGTAAAGTGCTGGAGCAGAAACGCCAACTCTGGCACCGAGACTCTGGGCTTCACCCAAACTGAAACCCGGAGAAGGGGCAGGGCCACTGGGAACGCAGCCCCAAGGATTCCGAGCGGTCTGGCTCATTGCCCCACGCCCCCCCCCCAGGACTCCCACTGGACATCTCTATGCCTTTTCCAGACGGGCCCAGCCCTCTCTCAGCTGGTCAATTAATTGTAAGTTACTAATTCAGTGCGTGAGAAGTGGAGGTGGAGGCCGGCCCGTCAGTCGTCAGAGAGCGAGGCCAGTTTCGTCTCAGGAAGAGCTGAGACGGCACCAGGAGGCTGCCAGCAGCAGGCCCGCTGCTCCTCCGGGCCCCGCGCCTGCCCCCAGCGCAGGCTGCCCGGACAAGGGCTGGCAGCCTGGCACCGTCCAGACACCTCGCTGACCACATCTGAAGTCCTCTCGGGGCCTCTGGGAAGGAGTCCAGGCGGTCCGGCCACTTCTTTGCAGCAAAGCAAACAGAAGCTGCATTTTTTGCTTTTTCAAATGTCAGCACTCCAGTTAGCAGGGCAGGAGGGGGTGGGGAGAAGCCCACGTTCTAGACAGGCAGGGGCCTCAGAACGGACCCTAGCCCCTGACGAGTTCCTGCTTATTAAATTCTCCTCTTTGTTCCGCTCCCACCCCCCCGCCCTGCATACCCAGACACACACACATCACTGTTGACTCTGCGTTTCTGCAGAGCACCCCCCCCCCCCGCGCCAGTTTCCAGATCATAACACTGTTTCACTGAGATCAAACGTCTTCGGGACTAGAGGGCGACTCTGCCAAAAGATGACTCATCGAATCATATCAAAACACTGCACAAAATTAGAGTTCCAAACTTGATTAACTTCTTCTGAACCTTTTAATTAACTCAGGTTGCAGGAGTCCAGGGAAGTGACAGTCACCGCTGCAGATGACGGGCGGTGGCTCTGCTGAAGACCAGGGCTTGCCCATGTAACAGAGGGCAGCGGGCCTGGGAGAGGAGAAAGTACGCACCTTCCCCGTGTTAGGAGAAAAGCTGTGTACGTGTGAATAACTGTCACTGCCCCAATCCTGGGCACTCCCGACCTGCCGACAAGCCTCCTCCCTAAGCCAGCTCCCTCGGAGAAGCTGGTCATCCTGGGGACGTGGAAAGCGGCACTACTCCTGGGTCACATAAACGTCTAGGAGTGAGAAGCAGTTATCGTCTCGGACAACTGCCTGTCTGCTAAGGCAGAACACTAGGTCTGACACTCAGTCAATTGTTCCTTCTATAAATACGGACCAAGGGCTGCCTCTGTGCCTGGCCCTGAGCTGGGCAAGGGAGAGGAGATGCATGCTCGGCCCCCTCAGAGCGCTGGGCGAGGGGACAAGCCCTACGAGGTAACGGAAGGTGGGAACCAGGAGAGCAGCCCTGTGAGTGTGATGACGGGGAGTGGGGCAGGCGCACGGAGCAGCCAGGCTCCCCACCAGAGGCAGGACCACCTCTTCTTCAAGGTTCCCCCAGGCCCGAACACCGCCCCCCACCCTCCCCTCGGAAGGCTCACGGGCCGCCTGAGGGTCCGCTGCGCCGTCTTTCTGAGAAGCCCTTCCCAGGGACAGGTGGGCCGCAGAGTGCGGCAGTGAGGAGCCTGGCTCAGGGGCCAGACCGCCTAGGCTGGATCCCCCTCACATTTACTGTGACCTTGGGCAAGTGACAGCGTCCCTGTGCTTCCCCTACAAACGGGGAGTCACAAAGGCACCCACCTTACAGGGTTTAAGGATTAAGTGAACTGACGCCGAGGTAAAGTGCAGAGAGCACCTGATGCGGGCAGGAATTCAGTAAATGTCCGTCCCCCAGAATCCTGGCCCTGCCCCCCCATCTCCATACACCCAGCCCGCGCCCCGCAGAGCTGACACTGGTACATGCTCAACTTCCTCCTTCAACGGAGCCACCAGCGACTCCGCTGTGGGCTCAGACCACAGTGACCCGGGAAAGATGCTTTGCAAATCCCCCCTCCCTTCGGGGCTCTTAATCTCAATGTGTGATTAAAAAAACATTTCTTCTTATCCTCACCTGAGGACATTCTTTCAATGCTTTGAAAAAATGAGAGGGGGGAAGGGAGACAGAGAGAGAAAGAGAAACATGGATCGGTTGCCCCCTTGCACACGCACCAACTGAGGACCGAACCCACAACCCTTCAGTCCCCGAGACAGAGTTCCAACCAAGCGAGCCACGTGGGCCAGGGCTCAGCTGTGACTTTACAGTCACCTGTGTGAATGCACTCGTGCAAGGACTGTCCCATCTTCTCTGCCACACGCCCACTCTGTGGGGTGGAGACTGAATCTGTCTCATCGCCAGTGCTCACCTGACGCCTGACACGGGCGTGCCCCCGGCAGGCACGGAGAGTGTGTCTGTCCCGTGGGAAGCTCAAGGTCTGGGGACAGACAACAGTCACGCACTAGGGGAGAGGGCTCACGACAAAGGGACACGAGGTCCTCCCGGATCCTAAGGGGCCCGCTCCATTACTAATCAAATGGAATCATTTTCAAGATAATCCAGGATGGACGTGCTTCTTATCGAGTCCTTACAAACAGGCCCCGTCTGCCGGAGGAGGGAGACAGACAAGCCTGGCTTTCAAGGCCAGGCCTGAGATCTAAAGGTGCAGAAAAGTCTGCCCACAGCGTGAGCTCAAAGGAGGGGCGGGGCTGCGCTGGGCAAGGCTCGAACACTTGGGGAGCCGTCCTCTGCCCAGCCTCTTCCCTTTTGTCTGGTCACCTGCTCAGCTCAGCTGCACAATACTTTGCCCTCCACTAGCCTCTCCCTCAGTCTTTCTCTGGAACCCAGACACTTAACAGTACGTGTGTTCGTTCGCTCGTTCATTCTTTCATTCATTGTTTCCACCCACAAACATGCCCTGGGCACCTGCCCTCCAGCCCGCGCGCCGGTGCCAGCAGTGCTGGAGGA